GGGGAATCCAGTTTAGGCTGGTCACCATTCACGCCGTAAAGAGATTTATACTTTAAGGAACCCCAAAATTCAAATTACCGAAACTAAAAGTTCTAATAGAGAAAAACTTTAAACAAATAATAGCTTTAATCGTATGGAACTGTCTCTCCCACACACATACACATTGACAATAGTTGTGTCCAGCGCAAACGTATACATGAAGAGCTATTGTCCGCCAAGGTAAAACATGAAAAGGTCCAGGAAAATATGTCACAGAGGAGAGAACCGCTGCCCGGCCAAACATACACACAGCGGAAATCAAAATGGAGGAACGAGATGGAAGAGTTGAGAGCTGAGAAGAGAGGGAACAGGGTGACTTACGGATGAAGCACCTTGTCTCTTATCACGCATTTGCGACCGCAAGAATCCAACATACACCCCACCGCTAGCGTTACTCCTGCTGGTGCGGATGACAAGGAACGTTTTTCGATTGCTCTAAAGGCATGGATAAAAAACAGACCAAATATAAGTCGCACGGCTAACACTTTTTTCTCGAAGGAGTGTGGTGAGAAGACTGGATGGTGGGGAACTCCGTTTCGTAGCAGTAACCCTGAGGAGCAGTCGAGGGGGTGACCAACAGCATCACCTCCGTCGCCAGCAAATCCTCTGCAGCAATTCCACAAACAAAACAATGGCTACTGATGTGTATTTAAGTAAAGTAAATCTAAAATAGATAACTCACGACTGGCTGAGGGCTCCATGCTTGAACCGGCGACAGCTGCGAAACTACGATGCGAAGAAGAGGCGGCATCTGTGGATCCTTGAGTCTGTTTGTGCTGTTGAACTGGGATACCCGAAGGAGCGAGACTCACGTTGCCCGAATCGATGAGGCTGAAAAAGGCAACACAGTCTTACAGGCCTACTCTAGAGGTAAGGAAGCCAAGGGGCAAGTTTTGAGTGTCAATTAGTGACACACAGGGACCGCATAACCCGAGTTTTGAAGACGCCTGCCCTAGCGATAAAGGCGATCGTTTAATTTTCCCAAAAAAGAAGGCAGGTGAGCCCCAAAAACACAAAGAAATGGTGAAAGGCGGAGCTTGGGGGGCCCCAAGAACACCGAAACACGAAGCTCCAAGTTCTCTTTTCTGAATAACTCTCACACACAAAAGGCAGAACGGGTAGAACCGGAGTGGGGGAGGAGAGGGAGACGAAAACGCAACAAGAGGATCAAAATCCCATTTCTAATCATTTGATTAGCTCCTGTGTCAATGACATCGCTGCCACCAACTAACTACACAGATACTTACTCCTTGTCCCCAAACAATGCATCCTCGATGAACAATTGTACAGCTGAAGCATATCTATTTCCAATTCGCTCACAATTTTGCAAATTCCTGCAAGAGATACGAATTCAGACAAAAAACAAGTGACGAAATTCAGTGCTTGACTAACGCTTTTCAAGAGACCTGCATTTCCACTGGATGTTGGTAGCTACTTACTCATCTAGCACTGGCAACGGATCGAATGCAACTGTCTTCTTCCCATTCCGCTTCCGCCTTTCAATGTACTCGTTTCTACAAAAATGTATCTTACACAAAAGTTTGTAAAAGTGGATAAACGGCGAAAAAGGGCGCGCTCCCACAACTACACAAATCGAAGAGGCGCTAGGCGCGCCACCTTACTAGTCCAACTCTTTCCCAGTTCACAGAGATCTTACCATCTGACGCAGCTTACCTTATGCATATGATATCGGCTAGGCTGCAAAAGAAAAAGTACGCTCTAAGGGAGAGCGGAAGGAAGTCTTAAAGCAAGCCCTCCCTGATTGGCTAATGCCTCAAGGCCGCTGCACACTCATTGGTTGCCTATTCTTCGTCAAGCGTATAGAGAAAAAAAGGCCTAAATTGAAAAGACTCTTCCATTACCTCAAAAAAACAGTCGAATCAACACCCGAAAATTGGGTTAAACAAAAGCGACAACAACTGCAACAGGACACGTGAAATAATTGGAATCTGGGAAAAGGCGTGCTTAGATGACCAGACAACCAGACGGCTGGGGAGGAGAAATGAAGGCAAAAAAGAAGAAACCTTCGGATAGGCCTCCATTTCCAGCCATCTGATCTACCATGGGCAAGATAGATATCACGTCAGAGCAACCGACTATACTCACGACAAGTATTTAACATTTTTGGAGTAAATCAGTCGATAACTCGCAGCCTTCTTGATACCACTAGGCCTGAAAACAAAAGATGAATACAAAAGCACACCGTATAAATTGTAGAAAAGAAAGGAAGGAGGAGAAGATTAGACGTAGCAGGGTGAGAAAATTACGCGGACACCCACCTCTGAGTTCGCAGCAGGGTCGCCTCACCCCCACGGGCCGAATCAAAGGTGAAGATGTGGAGATAACCGTCCAATCCCGCCACCAGAAGTCGGTACTGGTCACCGTGGCTGAAAAAAAAAGGAAAATAGAAGATAAGAATGAATACATAGGTCCAACAGTCACTTTCTTTTCCTTCTCACCAGAGAAGAGCAGCAGCCTTCTTGAACGCTGTGCCAACTTGCCCACTACCTCCATGCTCAACGTCACCGTGAGGAGACGCGGTGGCGGCGGTGACGTGACTGACGGAGGCGGGTGAATTTACACTCGCCAAGTTGGCAGCAGCAGAAGGAATCCAAGCGAAAGCGAAAGATCGGTCTTGTGAAAAGACCTCCGCCACGGGATTCGGGAGGTAGGCAGCACCTGCCTTCAAGGCTCCACCAACCCAGCTCACTAGACTGCCGGTCCAACTGCCAGTAGAGGCTGCGTCGTCGGTGGAAGAACTGGCATTAGCGTCGCTGCCATGCGTGGAGGATCCTGGTGTGCAGGCACTATCCTCGGCTCTGTGAAGAAAGGTGATGGATGAACTGAACCTAATCGCAAAATCACACTAGCATTTCGACGTCTAACGTCTACTGCCACAAAACTACCACATTTCAGTGTAGAATGACAAATCCCCTCAATTTTGCTTGATGCTTCACTTACTTGCAGGAAGATGAGGAGGGAGAAGCCGGCCCGTAGAGCTTGAAGACGTGGACGGTCTCCGTGTTGCTTGCGCACACCAGAAATCGATTATCCGTCGAGAAATTAAGGGAACAAATAGACGCGTAGCTGATAAAAGACAAGGAAGGAAAACAGTGTCCATAAAACATCGGAGGGAAAGTAGTGGGATCCCTAGACACTGTAGAAGTGGAACCGAAGGGCCGAAATCCAGTGGTACCTCGAAAAAGGTTTGCAAATGCGTGAAATGCAACAGAGAAGGCAACAGGTATCGGAGAACGAGATGCTACTTAAATCTCGGTCGATGCAATTTCAGACTTGTAGTTTCACGTTGGCGCCTGTCAGGTCAAAGTAAAAGCGTGACAGCTGACGTACCTACAGGGTCTACACAAACAATTTGTTTACTTAAGCGGTTTCACAAATTGGCACCGACGATGGAGGAGAGGAAAACATCCGACTCCAGGGTAGCTTATGCACGGCTGTGGAAAGGTCAATTCGACACAGCAGCGGAGTTACAAGACAGTCTAGCAGTGATTTCACGTACCCCACAAATCGGGTTTGACGGAAACAATGACTAGTATCGATAGAGTGTCCTAATGGGATCGGACTTCGGACTCTAGGTGGATGAAAGAAAGGTACCGCGGGACAGGGAAAGACGGGAAAAATGCGGGTAAATAAATGTGGACTAAGAACGCACCGGGCCAGACCACGCCGGAATTCCATCAATTTGTCACCAGCGGGAATGGAGAAGACTCGGACGACTGTGCCACGCTCTGAAGCAGTTGCGAGGAGGGTCGAGGACACGTTGAATGCGAGAGCTGCCAGCAGTCCATCGTGTGCCGCGATAGATGTGACGTTCTGTGAAGATGAAAGGATTTGAGTCGAGAGAATGCTCTATGAGGGATGGATGGATGACTCAATGAAGTGAATGGATCTGAGACGGAGAAGATGATAGGCGATTGAAGATAAAACTGGTCGGGAGTGAGGCGATTGGGGGTGAGTAGACGGCTAAATAGGTAGATTCGGGAAGAGTACGTGACTAATGTATGGATGAGTGGATAGATACAGGATGAGGCGATGCATGGATTGTCAGATGTGTGAGCGGAACAGAGAGAGGGGGATTGAACAAGTGGAGGGATGTTTGAGAGACGGTAGCCATCCCCACTGGAGGTGAATCAACCCTTACAAAACCAACTCGAGCGGTTTCAACAACTTGGCAAGATAAAGATGGCAGAATCCAGAATGGACTGCAGTTTCGAGAGGCGGGCACATGAGCGCAAGAGGGACAAATAGATTAATAAGTAGATCTGAGAAGAACAAACAACTAAATGAATACAGGATGAGAGGACGGATGAGACCAGTGGGTAGATGAAAAGATCCAAGATAGGTATAATGTGAGAATACGGAATCTGAGGGCAATTGATGGACTGACGAATTTGATGTGGATAGCTGGATGTGACGATCCTGAATAGATGGACCGAGAAGGGTGAACGATGGAATGGGTAAGAGCCGAATAGGCAGATAAACAGGCGGATTCAAGGGGAAGGAAAAGGACCACGACGGACGATTAAGTGGATGAGAGGATTCAATACCTACGAACAGTTGGACCGATGGAAGGGAAATAATCACGATGGATGAAGCATCAGTAGCTGACTAGTCTACTGTCCACTCTACTTCCATTTCTCCCATTTGCAATGGTCACAAATGACGCAAACAGGGTTGTTGGATAAGGGATGGATTGAACAAGGCCGAATGGAAAGTTAGAAGATTGAGTGAATGCTGAAGAAATGGAATGGAGGTTCATCACCACCACCAATACCGGCACTTCCAACACCACGCCTCAAAGTCACCACTATTCTAGACATTTCAAAGATTAGATAGCTAGGCAAATTATCAAAAGAGTGAAAGAAAAACGAAATCCGTTTGTCGAGGCGAGAACATGACCAGCTGGTAAACACACAAACACAGACGTGACAACTGAAGCTCCCCCAATCACACGTAACCTTCACCCCTGAATGCGTTAGAAACGCTCGGGATGCCTGATCTGCGGTCACACCAACGTGACAGTTGAGGCAAGTTTAAATGAGCAGAGTCTAAGATGAGGTCTGGTCAGCGCTACATACATCTAACTCCCCGAGTTTCTGACCCGATGAGCTCCATCTGAGAATGATTACGATTGGTGGAACAACCAAATGATTTCGGCAACAGACCCCGTCAACGAGTGTGGTAAAGTCACCACGTATATGCATCGTGTCTTAGTTGTCGACCATCTCCATCTCCCGCAGCGCCAGGCGACCTAAGCAGATGACATGTTACTGTCAATAAAACCATGAACCACACATTTACCGATCTCAAGGGAAACTGAACCGCTTGAAAAATGAGGTGGGTGGATGGATACGAGCTACGGACAAGGCTAGTAAGGATGGATGAAGACGAAGGTTAAGGGGGCAGAAGAATGGATAAGTTGGTTCCAAGGTAGATACGCCAATCAGGCCACTGAATAAAGGGAGATGGACGAAATAAGCCAGGCGGTCGTGGCCAGAGAAATGAATGTATGCGAGGCGCCATGGCCACATAGACTAACTCTGGACGGAAAACGCAAAGTTAACGTCAGCCCCAAATAAACCGCCGAACAACGCATTCCCAATGATCCCATTTTCGTACGACCAAATATCGTGAAGCCCCAAAGTAAAGCCAACATTCCTATCTCATCCTCATCCTCATTCGAAATGAGGAGGAAAAACACTGCAGGTCTATTCCTCGCTCTCGTACACGGTTGTCATGTGAATGTGACCCCTAAAAGTACGAATTCACAGGTACACACACATGCACGCAGTTAATCAAAGCGAAGGTTTACTTTCGATTCCACATTAACTTGCTCCTCCAGGAAGTTAAAAATGACGAAAAGGGGAGGAAAATCTTCCATAAATGCCGACGCAGAGAGAGGGCTAGAGCGGTGAAAGATGAAAGGACGGCTAAATGATCGAAAATGGCAGGATCAACTAAAACGCGTTGTTCTCTAAATTAATGATGGGTGGGTGAATTAAAGGCTCTGCGATGAATTAGTGATGTGCGGGTGGCTGGATAAACGGATGGCGATTACGCGTTATCTTCCATCGGTGGAATGAACGAATAAGTGGAAAGGTCATGTGTAGATGACTCAGAGGTGAATGAAGCTGAAGTCGGTGGACGGGTATTGGATGCAAGTGAATTCGAAAAGAAGGAGGAACTTCAAGACATGTCAAAAAAGCAAGACAGAAAGAAAACCACAGACCGTAAAGGTGGACGCATCGAAGATGTAGACAGTGCCCACTCGACTGGACCCGGGGTAGGCGAGGAGGCATTTGTCAGGACAGGTGGAGAAGGCGACAACACCGTTGCGGTTCGACGGCGTGTCCTCTATCCGGTGCAACACCGTCATGTCTCTGATGTTGTGGATGAAGATCTCATTCTCCAGACACACTACCAGCCGCTACAGTAGAAGGGGAGATTTTGTTATCATCTCTACTTAATGCTTCAAGATTTCACCAATCCGAAGCATTGGAGGTCTACACTGCCTCGTCAACAATCACCTCTCCTTATCCCCGCCTTACAGATGGACTGGAGACACTTTCATATCCAATTACACAGAAGATTGGGGGCCGAAGCGATTCGGGAATTATTTACTTCCGTATATACCCCAAGAATTGGCTATTCCAATGGCTACACATTTTCACTGACAAACTCATCTCTGTAAACAGCAATTAGGAATGCTAGGCAGGTATGACAGCTCAGCCACTTTCGATTAGCCACTATACAGGTATAGACGTTGAAGCTCAGTCAGAATGGGGTGGAGAACTTGGAATAAGCTAGGCTGAACGCTCAACTACACAGGCTTTTCACTCCCAGGGGTTTCAGATCACCTCCATCAACAGTTTACTGATCCTGTAAATTTGTGATGAAGTTATAGTCAGGCATAAACCTTTAATACCTTCGGGGAGAACTGGGAGAGTAGGACATGACAGAAACTTAGAAGGTCCAGCCGAAATAATCCCTCTCACTCCGTCCCTTGTGCCATATGAAATATTGCAGTCACGACCTAAATTTCCCTTTCTTAAGGGAAGAAATGAAGGGACACAAACTGACGTAATTGTGGAGTAGTACGAGATGGCAGAATTCTGCATTTACCTTCAGGATTCGTACGACCAAAAAGGATTAATTCAGTGCTCAGCAAAAAAATGATTCCTTTATAGCATATGGGATAAGCCCGAAAAGGTAGCCTAGATACGTGCCCGGACAGGACCGAAACTGAAAAAATAATCCGACTGGAACAGAACGATTCTCTCCTTTCGTAGCAGTAATCGACTGAGCAGTTCGATTTGCATACGAAGTGAATTACAAAATGAGGATCGTTCAGGCCTCCGTAACACGACCTAGGCGACGTAATCCCCCCGTCGCTGTTAAGTAAGCTGGTGGCCTTTCTGTCACATGAATGCAATTTCGTCAGGCCAGTACTGACGCAGTGTTCCTCCTTGAAAAACTAAATCTTATTTAAAGTTTGCGAATGAGGAAAAAACTCAGCTCACCTCTACAAACAGGGTGAGACCTCAGGTACAGGATAAAACGATCAAGAACAAGACCCTAAAAGTGGATTTAAGGAACCAAGTTTCCACTGGACAAAAGTACCCAAAGATTTGCAATTTTCTCAATAGGTATCAGGAGATTATCAGGATAACACAACCCCTTACTCACCACCTAGGCACTTCAAAAGAAACTTGAAAATGCCGAGCGGGGTGGTAAAGAACGCCTAAATGACTTCCGATTCGTCGAGCAGGCAGCTGAGATAACTTAGCTTTCTTGAGATACGGATATACCTATTCATGGCCTTCCAAAGGAAAATGTTCCGGCACCTACCTCAACGGTCAATTTCTGAGCAGTTTGGCCGGAAGTTATCAGAAAATTCAGCCATTAGACTAAAGGAACAAAACGACCAGACAATAAAATGTTCAAAAGCTGGACGTCAGCCTGATGACTTACCCGTGATTTCTTTTAAATAACGTCAAATTTATGATTAGGCTTGTGATATGGAATTCAAGGGAACAAATTTGAGAGCAAACACTTGTTTTGTGGGAAAAACAGAAACGAGGATCATAACCGTTATGGACTCACTTGACGATTCATTCTGACAGACAGGATGGTGTTGGTATAGCGGTAATCACAGATAAGAGAATCACGACGAGAATGAAAGATCAACAGTTTGCGCATATCATGGAGGGAAACGAGAACGACCAAGTTGCTGGTGAAGAGACGGCCCACGAGACACATTGGTTCACCATCTGGAATAAAGGAACACAATATTCGAAAAAAGAATGTGATGAAAACTTACTAACACTGTAAGTCTCTAGAACTTCGTGATTATCTGTCGACAGCAGACTGTAACCGTGCCGTGTTCCAATGCACAGCGTTCTAAAACAGACGGAATGATGCGAAAGTGAACTTGGAAGTCTTGAGTTTATTGACTCCCATGTAAATTGCCAGTAAATATATCAAAGTGCAACAACTGAACCAAACATACACTATTAAGAAAGGCATCAAAACGTGTTACTACAAAGAAGAGAAAACTTGCGTAAAATCCTGATTAAATTCAGCAAAGAGAATGGGCGTGTCGTCACCCATACTCATCGAAATGCTCCCAGCCATAACTTCGTCTTACAACTCTGTACTCCCAGCTGTTAGAACACCGGTATAAATGAGACCGCATAAAATACGTTTGAAACACACTATTATAACAATTTTAAAAGGGGTTTTCCAACAATCTGATAATTGGAAAAAATCAATTCATATTTGTAAGAATAAAATGCAATGCCACAGAATTTCCCTTCGCAAGCTAAAGACATTTTGTTAGGTTGACTTTACATAAGTTTTTGTTTTGTGCTTCTACAGTACACTAAGCATTATTACTAATAGTGCTGTAAAAATCGATTTGTTTAGACATGTCATCTTTTTTAAAACACCGATTACGAATGATAGACCCGTGGTTCGGTTCACAAGTTTTATTTTTCTCTTCATTGTCACTCTTCAATAAATTTAAACGTCACTGATATTGTGACATGGTGATCATAGTGACAAAACAGCAACAAAATGTCGAGTGTCACGTACTTTTTTACACAACGCACCCATTCTATTCAAAGTCATAAGAAGATCTAGTAATAAGGAATCAGCTACATACTGTTGTCCAAGGGACCGAGTCTACTAACATTATCCGTGAACTTAATACCCTGTGTAACCAAGCATAGAGTAAGGCAAACTTTAAGGTGTTTTTTTGCTAAGAGCTTGTCTACTGGCCTTAATACTCCTCAGTCACCCTGGTGAGATTTGCCGGGAAAGCCTAGCACTATTGATTTCTTGCTCAATCATAGTAAAAAGTCTTCATTTAGCTCTAACATCCAAAATTTTCAAAATCTATTATAAAGAATAGAATTTTCCAAGCTAGGTTAGAACTAACACCTGCACCCCTTCACCCTTTCTGTCCAGCTTAGCTATGTTTTGGGTAAAGTTTGTCACACGTGCCATATCTATTTCTTTGTTAGAGCCTGGTATAATCACATACTAGGCTTGTTTCACTTGGATTAAATATTAATTTAGGTACAAACTAGAAGTACATGTCCCGCTGCAAGGAAGCGCACTGGCCCACCTTGTGATGATGTTCAAATGTGGAGCGAGACTCCTCGGTCTCCGCTTCCCGATTTTTAGCGTTGCTAGACGAGCCCGGTTGGTTTGCTTTGGACATCTTTATTAAAGACGACAAGATGTATAGGGAAAATACAATATTCAAGAAGGAGGGGAGCCGCAGTCACTAGGTAAGGGAGAGGACGATCCCGTTACAAGGTTCCAATTTCCTGCTTGCCTCCTCCCTGAAAGGCAAATTCAAACAACATAAGTGTTACACAAAAGCACTGCAAAACCCATTAATTAACCGCTTTTTCCATATATCCCTTCAGGAACTAAATTTGTAAATAAAGCACCGTCGGATTGGGATGGATTGAGGGCATGCATCGCAGCCTTAAAACGACATTTGAAAATAACCGCTCTGCGAAAGTAAATTAGACCCCCTTATCCTTTTTTGGCAGCTAAAATTAAAGTCTGATAGATGACTAAGCTGGGAATAAAAGCGACGGGAGGCGTTACATCAGTCCCTTCATTGTGATTGCTCGAACTTCCACAGATAACTAATTCAGAGAGTTTAAATGACAATAAGGTAAATCCACTTTCCTACTCCCTAGTCATGAATGCTCATAAAATTCAAATTTGCACTTAGCTTGGTTTTACCTACCAGAATCATTAGAAAGCAACTCTGCTCTGGCAGTAAATCACCACAATATCAAAAATTCGAAACTTATTCCTATTTTGCTATGCAAAAGAATGGAATATTTATTTCAGCCGTTTTTTACACTGGAAGAATCCTACCTGTTCCCCTTGTTGCTGATGCTAACCTCTTCGAGCGATTGTTCAGTAAGGCCAGCACTTATAGAGGAGAAGCCGCCTCCACCTCGGCACCAAACCGAGCTAGCTCTGCCAATCGCGCTACCCACTCACACCCCAAGATAAAAATTCCTCAATGGGTTTGCAACCATTTCTCCTCGTCTACCAAGCTTATAGTAGCCAGAATATCAACACCAAATTTCGATATTCAATGGAGTCCACACAGGAAGACGCCCTATCACTACGACTTTTCGAAAAGGAAGAAGCCCCTGAATAGGAGAATACACACTCCAATATGCAGCCTGAACAATAAATAAGGAACTTAAAATAGATCAGACTCATTTATCGTATTCCTTTTTACATTGCGACTGCTCAAATCACTCCGTTTCTGCACCCGAATCACCACACCTCGCCTCCAGCTCTTCATCCGTATCCGTTGCTTCAACATCATCAACACCAGACCTCTCACTACCGTCTCCGTCGCCATCGTCAGCATCGGGATCTTCACCAATGAATCGATTCCACCGTTCCAACCGCTCTGCCTCTGCCTCTGCACTTTCGCCACACTTATCAAAACGCTCGCGCCCATCCCATCGCTCGACGCGCAGCTGTCGAGTCCGCTGACCTCCACTGTCATTGGCGCCTTCGACAGCTGGTGCTCGGTAGGTGAAGAGAGCCTTGTCCAGAAAGCCCACCGCTACGTCTGCCTCCTCTGGTGTGCTAAAGGTTACTGAGACTACACCTTCAGGATTGGTCTATAACAAAGTGAAAAGGAAGACGAGGTCGACTTTGAGAGATGTTACTTGATTCCAATTTGTTTTCACATCACAAAATACCAATGAATAACGATTTTCCTGCAGATCACTAGTCTGGCTCCTCGATCTTATACTTGTTCCTTTGACTAGCCTCTTTCAAGGTGGAGTGGTCGAGAAAAAAATTTTAATCGGACCGCTCGGAACACTCTATAAAGCCAGGCCAGAGGACGGCGATTTGATTGGTCTGTTACAAGTTGGGGCAAAAAAACACTTGATTAGTTATTTCAAGTTGAATAGGCTCCACTAATATTGTTAACCTTTCTGGACCCTAGATTCTAGTTTCGCCCTCTCAGACTTCAAAGGGATACTTGATTGCCCAGTCGGTAGGACCTTTGTGGACTACCGGAAGTCCGAAACGGCAGCTCAGCTCTTGCCACTTCTATGCTACTAATCGTACAGCTCTTCTCTGAGTTATAACACCTTCCAGGGATAATCCAGACGTCAAAAAAGGTGTTTAACGGCCTCGTTCAAAGATACATCATTCAACAGGTTAGTTTAGGTCAAATGTGGAGATTAGCAAAACAAATTCCCTTCATTCAACAATGCTGGACTCTAGACCAAAGAAAGACTATAAATCGCATAAATTGTTAATTTCAGACACCCTCGACGCATAAATAACAACGTTTGGTGGAAATTATTATCTACTGAACCAACCCAAATTCTCGACTTGAATTTCCTCATCAACTAAAAGTATAGGCATTCAAACCAGCAGAGTAACAATCCATGTTTGCCTGATATAGAGGGCGGTGAAAAGGAAGAAAAGTAAACTCACATCGTAGACAACAATCTTCTTGATAACACCCACTTTGGCGCACTGAGTCCGCACGCGCTCTCGAATCTCCGGAATAAGGCTGACGTCCAGCTGTAGGGGAGGGGGGGGGCAGGAGAAAGCAATACAGTAAGGGCCTAACAAATAAGCAATTTTTCAAAACCACTGCACCAGGAATAAGCTGCTCTCCTCCATTTTGAAATTAGTAGAGAACACTTTCGAACCGTGGAGAGAGAATTATTCCTCGGCCCTTCCTTGTTGTTGACAATGTCGCACGAGGACTTATGAAATGTCTACTCTATTAAGATTACCAGAACGGCTGTAAGGCATTGGTTTGATGCCACAACACCGGACCACTTTTATGCTCGACTCCAAAAGCCCCCGTAATCTCCAAATAGCGACATATCTTACACAAAATAACTTGAAAACGACCATGTGGGATTGGAATTCAAGGCTACTACCTCTATTCTTACCTCTCCCGTCTCAATTCCTAAGAAATCACTGCTAAATTAAGAAGGCAAAAAAATAAAATTACATCTGTTTAACCTACTCCAAGGTCTTTCTCGTCGAAGACGCTTCGTAGGATGATTACACGTTCCTTCTTGCCCCGGATGAGTTTATTTGCATCCGGTTTCCACTTAAAGAGGCTAAAAAGATGTACCTATCAGCTCCAACGGGGGCATTTCATCTTTAAGGAGCTAGTGTGATGCGCTGCACACTCACTTTTCCTGCTTCTGCTTAAATTTCTTCTTCTCCTTTGCCGTTAACCGACGATGTTTGGTATAGTCAAAATCCTTTTTGGGTTGGAATTTCGCACGTTCCACATGTAGAATGTAGCCGGGTTCGTATTGCAGTCCATCCAATATCTGCAGCGCTAGGTCAACTGATTCAATCTAAAGGTTAATGTTGGGATCAAAAGACCATTTTCACTTTCATTTAATAAAGGTGATAGTGTTTTCGCACGACGCACCTTAATGTAGCAGCAACGACCGTCACCCTTGGGTTTACCCTCCTCGTCACGGTACAATTTAATCCTCAACTTATCCGTCAACGGATCGTTCATAATTATGCCACATTTGGACATCAAAGCCGTGAATTCTGCCTCCGTTATGGTTGACGGAAGACCTGACACGTAAACATGGGTGTTCTTATCGTCGGTTATCTAAAGGAAGGGGTGTTGAGCTACTACTGGTTTACCTCATACCACTCTGGGGCACCCTTCTTCTTCCTCTTCCTTGAATGACCGTCTGAGGAGGTTTCTCCCTCCGGTTGAGTAGCCTTTACTTTTTCCGTCTCCGATTTGGCGATCGGGACACCTAGCCTCTGTTCCTCTTCAGCGCGTTTCAAGGCATCATCTGCTGAAACTTCCACGACCTTTTGCGGCCGATGTTTCGTTTCAAGACGCACTCGTTCCTCTTCTTTCGCATCTTCCTGCCGCTTTTGGTACTCATCGTACCAAGCCCTATAAGCAGGCGACCGATAGTATTCACCCAGAGAAGCAACAGCCTTTTTCACTTCCTCATCCTCATCCCCCCGTTCGGCCTTTAACTTTTCGACTTGGGCGGCAAATTGGCGCCAAGCTGTGTGGGCACTCTCTTGTTCGTTTTGCACACCAAAGTTCATCTGATAAGATGCAATAAAATCGTCATCGATTTTCGGGAACCATGCCCGCTTCTCCTCGTCCCATTCCATTACAGTACCATCATCATCGACGCGTGTTTTTTTGGTCTGACTACCAGCGAGCTTTTCACGCTCGGCAGCCTCCTGTTGAAGTCGAAACTGATCTTCAAACTCCTCATTGGATTCTCGGATCGCCGACGACATCGTAACGCTTAAAAAGCTTCACTTTTCGAACGCACTGAAAATGTGGTTTAAAAACGAAACTGTGAGTAAAGATGAGATAAAAGGTACAACAACTGCGTACACAAAATTTCTAAGAGCATGGTACATGAAAAATGGTTTCGTTAAGAAAATGAAACCCAAACAGATCTACAGATTACTGAGCACCATAAAAGGAAAAATTACAGGTTAAAAACTTTGTCTAAAAAAAAGCGAGGGTAAATACAACTCAGACAAAATCCACAAAGAAGATTTTCAACTACATGGATAACAAGAACCTTGAAGTCTCCAAGGCTATACACTATTAAAAAGGCGGTAAGGAAAATGCTGGGCATAAAAGTGTTGTACACTTGTCAAGTACTAGTCACATGCAAACGTAGTAGCGAAAAAAAAGAGCAAGGCCTATATGGACAAAGATGTCAGTCATGCATAAGAAACTATGATTAAGGGATGTGAAGAATCAGAAGTACCTTTCCAAATTAGACATGCACGACTAAACACACAACTTTTCGTGGGATTAAAACAGGTGAATACATTGATGACAGAAAACTCTTATTTGCAGTAAACAAAACTTAGAGTCCATCAGCCAAGTAAATATGAAGAAGCCGATATTCCATAACCCACACCACCAATGGCCAGACGCAAGGTTCTGATCACGCGCCACTTTATACAATTTTTGTAAATAACTTAACACAATAGACCCATATTGTTATTTACTGCATACCGACACATCAAAGTTTTATACATTAAGTGACCTATAATTAAAACTAAAAAAAGGTAACATGCACTTCTGGATAATGTACCTACATGTTTAGAAAATGAGGGTTCCTAAGTGATGGTTCGTGTAGGGTAAAATGTACTCTAGATCTTCTTTGCAAACAACTAATTCGTACAATGAGTTGTTTTTTTTCAACAAATGATTATCAAATTCAGGTAAGGCTGTTTTCTTAGCACTAACGTTTTTCTACTTATCGTCAAGGGCTCTAAAAGTATCACAATTGTACAAAAACCGTTTGCTTACCAGTCGATTTCGGCAAAGGGCTACTTTCTGTTGACTATTGCACCTCGCCAGGTGGGCTGACCTCCAGGCCACTCCGGTGGCCTTAATACATTCTGCATGTCGAATATACGAATTCTGCTCCAAAACTGTAGCCTCCCCCACTTTCAGTAGAGTACCAAAGAGCTGCAACTACACTTTTGATGCATTTAAATCGTGCTGTTTTACTACTTCCTAAACAAGAAAAATTCTAATGTTTTATTCGCATTGCTTTATGTCAAGCGGTTTCAACATATCATGAGGGTAAATGTTTGTCAAAAAATAAAACTTTACCTAGGTAAAAACAGAAAAGCTATTATTTTAAGAATTTTAGGCGGCTATCTCTCCATCACTCGGTTTAAATCGTCCAAAGCACAATCCTGTGTTTTAATAGCTACATTTTGGTATCTTAAGGCCTCTTGCGGCATTATATAGTCTGTATCCTTTTTTAGCGCATGCTAGGCCCTGTTTCAGTTTATGATTTAGGATGCAGTTTCTTTTATTTTTATCGTAGAAAAGTAGTTGGTATTACCAGCATCAAACCAGGAGCATCTATCAGGAGGAGCGATATGCCTATTGTTAGGAGTTTTTTGACAAATATTACAATGCCATGTTTTCAAATGAGGAAGTCATTCTTTTGCGCTTTTCCTTTACTAAACTTCAGCCTCTATAGGTGGCACATATACTGGAAGTTGATTGGACAAAAAATTTGTCGGGTTAGCATATTGAGTTCGGCGCCCTGTTCGTAAAATCAAAATATGACTGCTTCGTTGGATGTTAAACTTTTTGCCTCACGTATCAAACGTTTTTACGAACAATGGGAGGTAATGTGGGTTACCTTATTAATAAATTTTTAGTCTCCGCAAAGCAACTTCTCTGACGTGGACGCTTTTCTTGTGCTCAACGGTAAATCAGAAGACATTTACGGTAAAACGATATCTACACAGGTAATGCATTTTGGATCTTAGCTCTTGGTAGACTTATTTTTTTGGCTATGAACTGCAAGAAACGGCAATGCTTATCGCCAAGAAGGGCATAACCATTCTTAGTAGCAGAAAGAAAGTTGAATTCTTGAAGCCTTTGAATTCCTCTGGTGTTGAGAACCTGACTTTTACATTACTAACGAGGTCTCAAGATGATGCAGACAAGGCAAATGTGGCCCTTCTTGCCAAGGACTTCTTGTCAAGCGGGAATGGAGATAAGTTGGGTGTCTTCTCGAAGGAGATTGAACGCAACTCCGAGAGTGAATTTTCTAAGTCTGTCGCTTCGACTCTGAAGTCAAAAGCGAAGGAAGTCGTCGACAGTTCTTTGATGTTTAGTCAGTTTTTTGCTGCCAAAGAGGAGGTTGAAGTGCAGTATCTCAGGAAAGCCAGTGAAGTTACTTGTATTCTCTTTTCGAAACATCTTAAAGAGAAGATAATGGATGTGATCGATGACGACAAGGTGTGTTTTGCCAAGTAAATGTAATTTTTTGCGTCTGTAGAAAGTGTCTCATCAAAGCCTGTCAGATGGTTGTCAGGAGGCCTTGAAGAATAGGGACCTGACAAGGGGTTATGAACAGGAGTTCCTTGAGATCTGCTATGATCCAATCATTCAGAGTGGTGGCAGTTACAATCTTAAATTTAGCGCCGAAAAGTATGCCCTTTCTGCCTAAATTCAATTATTTTTTAGTGACAAAAAGCCGATGCATTTCGGGACTATTATTTGTTCACTGGGAGTTCGATATCGGTCCTACTGTTCCAACGTTGTCCGAACTCTCATCGTCAATCCCAATGCCAAGCAGTCGACTTATTACGAGTACCTGCACAACCTACTCGACTGGGCTATTGAACAGATGAAACCGGGTGTTGTATTTTCCAATTTTTACAATACGATTGTCAATAAGGTGAAAGTGGATCATCCTGAGCTCGTCGATAAGCTGATTCGAACCTTCGGGTGGGTTTATTCTTGTTAAAGGTGAATTTTTGTTCAAAAGACGTGAGATCATGAGCTCCTTTTGTCTAGTTTTGTAACTGGCATTGAGTTTCGCGATGGGAACTACGTTATCGGTCCGAAGAGCTCCGCAGTTTTCCGCGAAGGCATGTCCATCAACATCAACCTGGGATTTCAGGTGGGTCGCTTGTTTAGAATTATTGCAAGGAGGTTCATTTCATTAGGTTTTGCCATTCAAGTTTGAGATTCTCGGATTTTGGCTACGCTTTTCTTGCTCGTCTTGCCGTGGCTGGTTTTCTTGGCTCAAATTGTGGCAATTTCGACTGAAAAATTGTGCGTTGTCTGTCGAATTTCAAACAAGGTTTATCTTCCCATCTGGTTGCCCTTTTTTCTAGCATGGTACCTTACCTAGGTTCCTTATCGACATGCCTGCCACTAATGAATTAAACTTTGCTTATTTCATTTGTTTCCTGCACTGGCTTCGGCCACCACAGTTCACTCGTTTTATTATTCTCATGATACTGACTGCGCTTGATTTCTTCAGGCAGCATTCATAACGTCCTAGGTGGAATAGAGAATTTCATGGGCCGACACACGTATGTGACGTTGAGGCGTGTATGGAGTTTATTCATCATGCACTTCTTTGCATGTATTTAAAGCCGGGCTCACACTGATGAGGTGGGGACGTTGCACATATGTGACACTCAGTAAATGGTTTCACATGGAATGATTCTAAGTGCTTTGGTTAAATATGGTACGGATGTTGTAATACTGAGACAGGGAATAGCCGAGCGCTTGGAACCTTCTTTCCCTGAAGTGAAATCACGTCTTTGGAATAGTTATCTTTGTCATTAGTCAGGGAGATATTGCACTAAAACCGCAACTTACCTTGTTGAGCTTCAATTCCTATTTATTCCTATTTTCGACTTCCTTTTTGAGAGTCGGACTCGCTATTGCACTGTCCGTGTTCCTTTGCTGAGATCGTCCTTATCCACCCTTAGGTCAGTCATAGCGTTTTTTCTCTTCCATCATGCAATAAGAATTTGAATGTAGATTGTTTTCGTTGTACTGTCGATCTCCATCCAGGTTCTGAGTTGACATTCAGCTAGTTACCCCGC